TTGATGGTGGTGTGGATGTTTGACGAGGTACTAAGCGTATGTGACACCGAAGCACATAGATGCTTCGCGGTGGACCAAACTCGCACAAGTCTAGCCTGGCCTCAGGCCGGGCTAGGAGAGAAGAACTCCATGAACCCCATCAAGTAGATATCAAGCAGATGGATGGGTGGAGCACGAGTATGGAGGTATTACATAAGATACGGCCACAGAATCAGTAATATGCGTGCGATTTATCAACTCTTAAGGTCATTGTAGGTTATGATGATGCATATGCATGCGTGCGTGTGGGGGAGGGAGGGTTGTAAATACTGGCAGGGACAAGGGAGCCCATGAGAATTGACCAGTACAGTTCTGTGAAGATATGTAAATAGATGAAACAATTACAGTGCATTACACTGGCTAACTAGGAACTTGCCTCTTCAGTAACTGGGATGAAGGTCCCCAGTGCGCGTCGCAGGCGGCTTGAGCCACCAGCGTGGGCCGCAGGTTTATGCCAGAAGGCAAGGTGAAAGAGACTGAGGAATCTATCCGTCAGCGGAGCCTTCCAGATAGACATGTGCTGCCGCTGCAACCCGCATACGTCTCTCTTACTCAAGTATTGCCACTCCGTCTCTGTTCTATCACAAACCTTTCCTCCAGTAATTGTCCTATTTGTCCTCCTTTGTATCGTACCTTTGTCCTCTTGTATCTATCTTTATCGCGTCAGTGTTCATCTTTTATATTTTTTTCCATCTCGTCCTACCACCCGACAATTCTAAACCAAGTCCTGGCCCCAGTCATTATGTTTCCAGGGCCGTGTCAGGATCTTAGATTTATTTTTATAACGAGCACAAGGGGGTTGGGGAGGGGGGCCATGTGGGGGGGGGAGGGAGATGTGGGGGGGGGGGGGAGCGGGAGATGTAGGGCCAGAAATTGTCACGCATTTCACTCCGCTTCCCAGTAAAAAATTGATACACCCTCTGCTCAAATTGGAGGATTATACCCTGGGGGGAAAAAAACTGCAAAATACACTTAAATCGTGCTTATCACTATTATAATACCGTAACAAATAAAGAAACGCAGAGACATAACGGAAAGAGGAGACAGCTTCCATCCTGCCAGTATAACTGTAAACATCCACTTCCTCTCTGGTACGCTCCGGTCCCCCCCGAATAAACAACAATCATATCGTAACTGAAGGTAATGTACGCGAGGAAGATAAGAATGCTACACACCCTTCATCTGGCCGGGTACCTTACGTTGGTTCCCAAGACCAATACCCTTGTCCTCTGCCCAGAAACGTGTGAATCACAACTTTGTTAATCAGATACCTTTGAAGGTGTTCTATGAAGTTACATCATTAACACCGAAAGGGATCTTTACTTAAGTTAAGAAACCAGAAGAACGCAATTATCTTTAGATGTTGAGGCTGTGTAATGAGGTCAACTTGTCCTCTTAAAAAGAACGTCACTTTTGCCCGTATGGCCGAATATGGACGTAATTTGAAAATGAAAAAATGAAAATAAATTTGGGATTTTCTTACATGAGGTTGTGTGTGTGCATTACACGAGGGATGCGGGTCCATACCTTTGTGTTGCTCTAATATTTTATCGTGTAATAATTACATAGGCAAGATCAAAATATTTGGCTTAAGCCTTAAGATAAGGCATTATGGATTACGTATTGGAACATTTATTTCCCATCCGATGGAAAAATATCAGTGAGCATAATTCGAATTCAAACCAATACTGAAGAGAACATTTTAAAAGCAAATTCCAAAGAGACGAGTATAGTGCTGATTGTGATGAGTACTACTCATCTACAATCAGATGAGTACTACTACAATCAGCACTACTACTACTGCTCGGCTAAGTGCTGATTGTGATGAGTAAACCAAGTTACTCACTCCCAATCAACAACTTTCACGCTCTACCAATCCGACTATCTACGCTACTGTTTAAACATTATCAGGGGTATCTGTCCCAGCTTTTAGGCTTAAAAACAAAAACTCTCGCAGAGATATTATGGACTTTCTGAAAGTTGAAGTGACAAAGAAAGTTCATTTATCCGCCAATACTGTAGTCAATTGTCAACAATTACCGCTCCCTCTTCCTTACAGTATTAGTCTTATTTAATACTGGAAGTTCCCAGACTTCCATTCACCCGGACTTTTTTAGCCTTTCGGAGAACCTTTTTTTGTACACGTGCGTTATTTGAACATGATACAAGTCTAAAAGGAATTTATAGTGGTTAGTGGCTCACGTATGTCTAGATAACTTTCCCGGATGAGGAGTGGTTGCTGGAACTAGGCTTTGGCGGGAGCACACTTAATCCAGTTAGCTAAGGTGCTAACTGGCAGTCGGGCCGCCTAGGCTTTAAGTCTGCTTACTACGATAGGTTTCGGGAGGTTTTTTTTTTCTTTATAAATGCATTATCTGGAACCTATTTTAAATTCGCGAAATTATAACGCAGGATTAATTACACAATTCCTTAGCGATATACAAGGAATATAGTTATTAAATATGCATTTCATGTAACAACTAGTCAACCACTGCACGGTATTTTAAATACATTATTTTATTTATAAAATATAATACATTATAAGGTATTTTAAATACAATATTATACTACCTATTTAGACTGCATTACAGGTTTCATGATATGATTGTTAACGGCAATCCTGTATTAGAGCGGAATGAATAATTGTTACTGTAACGTTGATAATAGAAGATGTCACATTTTACAATATTCACTTTTTTTTTGGACTAGAGATCAGTTGCGGGAATATTTCTTTGCGATTCTTGGCAAGCTGGCTGGCTCGTCTCTCCCCGCTCCTTCCAATGTAAAATGATCAAACACGTTCCATTAATTTTTTGGCAAGAGATCAGGATCTTTTGTTTTGTTAACGATGCCAAATCTTTATTTTCTTATTACGAGCAAACTTGCTACTGTTGTGAAGATGCGTTGTTAGGTTGTTGCCATATACAGGTTTTGTTTTGTTCCAATATTCTTATACTTGGAGCATCAGTATTACGTTGCGTTGCGGTAGCCTGGTCTTCCTAAAGACAGTATTTTGAGCTAATACTCTTGTTTCGGTTATAACGCCCTGTTTCGCCTTCGCGTACTAGTGGCTTTACAAGATTGTAATTACTATGCCATGTATCCTCACAATCCCAATGTGCCTTCATGTATATATATAAATAAAAAATAAATAAAGTAATAAAGTACCTTGGGTCGCCAACAAACTATTTGCTCATTAGCGTGAGCAAGTGAAGGCTTCAATATTGCAACAATTGTGCTTTACATTTTCCTTTAAACTTTGCAAGCTATTTTTGTACATAAATGTAAAGCAAATAGACGAACGAAGTAGCAGTCCCCGTGGCTAAGTGGTAACACACTCGCCTGGCGTTTCACAGGCGCTTTGACCTGGGTTCATATCCTGGCCAGGGAAGATTGACTGGGTGCCAACCCTTAACTGCAGCCTCTGTTCACCCAGCAGTGAATGGGTTCCTGGGTGTTAAACGATTTGGCGAGTCTTGTTCCGGGAAAAATTTAGGATTAAGGACTTGCCCGAAATGCTTTGCGTGCTAGTGGCTTTACAAGAATGTAAGTACTCACGTGCGTGTACTCATCTAGTTGAGCTTTCGGGGGTTGAGCTCTGGCTCTTTGGACCCGCCTCTCAACTGTCAATTAACTGATTATCTCCCCCCCCCCAAAGGAAGCAACAAATAGCGTACCGTAACAACTGTAACTCTCGGGTACCCATTTACTGCTAAGTGAACAGGTGCATCAGGGTGAAAGCAACTGCCCCAATTGTCATAGGACTACGAATACCAAGCGCTGTCCACTCAGCCGTCAGGCCCCGAGGACATGTTGGGTAGCTTAATCTTTATCAATAATTCAATTTCTTACCTCTATCGATCCCTTGATGCTCTACAGTTTGTGCGTACGTCAAGACACTCCATTAAACACCTGCCCGAAACCAGGGGCCAGATTCACAAAGCAGTTACGCAAGTACTTACGAACGTGTACACCTTTCCTCAGTCTTTGACGGCTTTGGTTACATTTATTAAACAGTTTACAAGCATGAAAACTTCCCAATCAACTGTTGAAATTGTCATAAACAGCTTCCTGGTGCTTTGGAGCTCATTAACCGTTTAATAATTGTAAACAAAGCCGACAAAGATTGAGAAAAGATGGACAGGTTCGCGAATCTGGCCCCAGCCTCGGAACACCATTGTGTCTGCACAATAGGTACAGGTCAAGGTTTGGGTGAAGGTACGACTGCTCTTACGGGCGGTTGCGCCACAAAATCTCCAACGCACCATGCCGTCCTCTTCCGACCTCTGCCCTAACAACAACCTCTGATTGACCGTCCCGCCCTTCCCACAACTGAACCCCTCCACCACCACATTTTGTTCTTATCCCGCCATGTGTTACGTGTTCATCAGTACGCCTTGACACGTAATATCTCTGCAGATGATGAGTCACAATAACGTGGCTGAAATGTTGACCAGACCACACACTAGAAAATGAAGTGACGACGACGTTTCGGTCCGTCCTGGACCATTTTAAAGTCGATTGTGAGAATGGTCCAGGACGGACTGAAATGTCGTCGTCCCTTCATTTTCTAGTGTGTGGTCTGGTCAACACGTAATATCTATGACATCTACTTTGCGCGGGTTAAGTATGTTTACCTCTAGTCTGTGAACAGTTGTCCTACTCCAAGCCTGGTCTGGCGCTAGGCTTGTCATGTGAAAACTTGATCTTGCGTACTATGTTAAGAGCGGACCCTGCTTACCTTGAGTGAGTTCAAGTTTGCAGTGTGGACCCCAGACATTTCTAAGCATACATGCGCAGCTCAATAACTACGTATATCAATATTCTGTAGATTTATTTAAGCTGTCTACTACTTGACAGACTTTTTTGAAATGGGGTAAATGTGCTATAATGCTCACTTTTGCTAGAGTTTAAAAGTTTGGTAACTATTGAATATCGACATTCGTGGGGGGTCAACTCACCTTTCGGGGACGGAAATGCGTTGTTTGTTGGTTTGGTGAGTGTGGAGTCCATCCTTATGCGTAACTGTATGACAACACGCCACTCAGGGAAGGTACTGCTGTGGAGCCTTGCACCTCAACTAGCAAGAAAGAAGGTTAACTTCAAATCTGCCCTAATGGACCGTGTATTGCGAAGTCATAATATAAAAAAGGTGCACTTCAACTTTAATATTTATTATCAATCGAATATACCCTATTAAAACAGACAATTGATAAAGAGCATGTCATCAAATGAACAAATCTTAGTATTGTTCACCCGTAGCTTAGTAGGTTTGAAACCTCACTCCCTCGTGTATTTAACTTATTGTATTTGTACAAAGCTAAAATAAAATGGAAAACTAGTATAGCTTTGACGCTTAACGATATCCAAGCCGTGCACGCAGCCACTAGTAATTAAGTGTAATTACCTAAGTGTAATTACAGGATGAGAGCTACGCTCGTGGTGTCCCGTCTTCCCAGCACTCTGTCCTATAACGCTTTGAAATTACAGTACATTAAATGATAGCACACACCTGGTCTTTTTTAAATATCATGTGTATTAATGTCAATCTGTCAATCATTAATACTTTTAAAAACGGCTTACCATTAATTGCCTTGGAAAAAAAATTACCATTAGGCTCTTTCATTTCGCCTGACGCTTCTGTTCACCTAGCAGTAAACAGGTAGTTGGGAGTTAGGCAACTGATGTGGGGTAGATCCTGGAGGTGGTCAGTGATATACCTCAGTATAGAGAGGTATATATTTTGCATATAGCAACAATTACTGTTGCAAATACTGTTGGACACACAACAAATACTGGACATACGAACAAATACTGTTGGACACAACAAATACTGGACATACGAACAAATACTGTTGGACACACAACAAATACTGGACATACGAACAAATACTGTTGGACACACAACAAATACTGGACATACGAACAAATACTGTTGGACACACAACAAATACTGGACATACGAACAAATACTGTTGGACACACAACAAATACTGGACATACAAAATACTGTTGGACACACACAACAAATACTGTACGAACAAATACTGTTGGACACACAAATACTGGACATACGAACAAATACTGTTGGACACACAAATACTGTTGGACACACAACAAATACTGGACATACGAACAAATACTGTTGGACACACACAACAAATACTGGACATACGAACAAATACTGTTGGACACACAACAAATACTGGACATACGAACAAATACTGTTGGACACACAACAAATACTGGACATACGAACAAATACTGTTGGACACACAACAAATACTGGACATACGAACAAATACTGTTGGACACACACAAATACTGGACATACGAACAAATACTGGACACACGACACAAATACTGTTGGACACACAACAAATACTGGACATACGAACAAATACTGTTGGACACACAACAAATACTGGACATACGAACAAATACTGTTGGACACACACTACTGGACATACGAACAAATACTGTTGGACACACAACAAATACTGGACATACGAACAAATACTGTTGGACACACACAACAAATACTGGACATACGAACAAATACTGTTGGACACACACACAAGTTGACGTTTTACACAAATATTGTATAGGGCACGAAAAACAATGCAACAACCAAACCAAATAATATCCAAATAAGCGTTTCTGCCCGAAACGCTTTGCGTAATAGTGGCTTTAGGCATTGTATGTACCAGCTCTATCTATAAACCTAGCAATTTTTGTAACAATCTCTTATGTACCTTACCTGAATAAACATTTATTTATTATTTATATCCTAGGCCTAAGAGCTCAAATTAATTAGGTCTAAATCGGCGTATATCTTATTTAGGCCTAGGCCAGGTTGTAGAGATTTTTTAGCATGGTATTTACAGTAATCCAATAGTACAAATTTAACTTTTTTTAGGCAACGTGTCGATTAAGTTTCTATACGGATTACCATATTCGGAGAATAGATTGAGGAAACCCCAAGATCGACGATTACATAAAATATACTTAGACGTCCAGTAAATTCGATAGATTTAAAATTCAATAGATTAAAGTAATAAGTCAGCTTACAGTAATTCCCGAATCTATAGTTTCCTTATTTTCTTATTAATACCGCCCTTACTCTCCTACAACGATAACCTTGGGTCAGATTCACGAAGCAGTTACGCAAGCACTTACGAACGTGTACATCTTTCCTCAATCTTTGACGGCTTTGGTTACATTTATTAAACAGTTTACAAGCATAAAAACTTGCCAATCAACTGTTGTTATTGTTATAAACAGCCTCCTGGTGCTTCGGAGCTCATTAACTGTTTAATAATTGTAAACAAAGCCGCCAAAGATTGAGAAAAGATGTACAGGTTCGTAAGTGCTTGCGTAACTGCTTTCGTGAATCTGGCCCCTTGACTGTAGTTAATTGCTACAGTCTATCCCAATATGTATTATTATTCTTGTATATTTATGTTTACTTTAGTACGTTAATGAATACTCCCTACATACAGGATGAGATTTAAATATTACATAGCGTTCTGGGCAAAGTAACATGTTGATTTTATGTGATGTGTAAATATAGAAACACATACCAAACGGCATTAAAATAGCTTTAGCAACCCCATACCTTTAGAGTGGATTCATATCAAACATTGAATTGTAAAATTAAATTGTTTTAACTACTGTACATTCTATATGAACGAAGAAACAGTGTCCCTATATATTCTACTATATTATGCTCTCCATGCTGTGTACACACACGCCTCAGTACTCACCTAGTACGGCTTGCGGAGGTTGAGCTTTGGCTCTTTGGTCCCGCCTCTCAAGTATGCCACAGTTCAGTTTTGGCTCCTGTTTCCCCTCACCTCGTTACCTTAGCTCATACTAGGGGGGGGGGGGACACTAGACTGACTGAAAAGTTGCCACCCCCCACCCTTCGTCACCGGAAAGTTCCAGTCGTATACAATACTGATTGATTAGTCAATATGCAATTGATTATAATTTCACAATGTATAATTATTGTATCATTGCACAATTATTGTAGTTATATAATTATGCAATTATTGAACGATTAATATGTCTAGGGCCGTAACAACGCCAAGAGTGAAGTACAGTATTAACAATTATTCATCTAAGCGGTATATACTTAGCTTCAAACCCAAGCCGCACTTCCCAGCAGTAGCAAACTCTAGGAGAAAAACTTTGTGGCTTAGAGAGATCAGAGTAAATATTAAATAAAGCGTTTATTCAGTAAATACGACAACCTTGTAGCTACATTAAACTCACGGCGATTTTAAAAAGGTATTTGCAACAAAATGGAAAACTGAAAATCGTTAATTTTAACCAGTAGCGTAAGGAAAATTAAATTGTAAAACGCTTATTGCCAATGAATGAAGATCGTGGCTTGGCATGGTATTCTAGCGAAGGCAAATAAATCGTATGTTGGGTCAAGTCGACTATCTTCTTGAGGTTATCTTGAGATGCAGTCTCTTGCAGTCTCCGTGGTGTAGTGGTAAGACACTCGCCTGGCGTTCCGCGAGCGCTATGTCATGGGTTCGTATCCTGGCCGGGGAGGATTTACTGGGCGCAATTCCTTAACTGTAGCCTCTGTTTAACGCAACAGTAAAATGTGTACTTGGATGAAAAAACGATTCTTCGCGGCGGGGATCGTATCCCAGGGACCTGCCCGAAACGCTACGCGTACTAGTGGCTGTACAAGAATGTAACAACTCTTGTATATATCTCAAAAAAAAAAAAAAAAAAAAAAAAAAAAAAAAAAAAATGATTTCGGGGCTTTTTTTTTTTTAGTGTCCCCGCGGCCCGGTCCTCGACCAGGCCTCCACCCCCAGGAAGCAGCCCGTGACAGCTGCCTAACACCCAGGTACCTATTTTACTGCTAGGTAAGAAGGTGACTACAGTAAGCAAGATGTAAGGTATATTATTATTGGACACAATTTGGTAATACTCCTCGTATTACCAAACCTCCCACCTCCCTTTCCACAATAGCCCGACCTCTCAAGGGCACAAACTAAACTAGCTCAACTGACAACGTATTGTGGATTAAACAACCTTGTAGCACGCGTCCCATTTTTAAGTATACTTTACCCCCAAGGCCAAAAACTGATAAGGAATATAAAATGATAGGGGCTCGCAAAATTGGTAATGTCCCGTTTTCTGTTCGTGGGTACTCTAGTTGGTTAGGCTAGTGCACAATTTTTAGACCTTGGGAACTGAATTAAAAGTTCCTCGCGAAGATTTAATGTTTACTCTCCAAGTTACTAGGTCGTAAATAATTGTCATATAGACTAGCGTAGTGTTCTTGCCATGTCTTACATTAACCAGGGGTAGTTATCTACGAATTGCCAGCCAGATAACCTATCATAGTATCCGCTGTCAGCCAGATTCCTACAAAACCCTGTAAAAGGCAGACATTTTCAGCCCCATGGGTTGTCAGGTGGTCATAACCGGTTTATCGAGAACTAAAAGCATTATATAATATAAAGGCGAAGCAGAAGAGCTTGGCACAAAGGCGAGGCTGGAGGAAGTAAAGAAATGCATTCGGCAAAAAGTATTATCAAGTGGAACTTCCTGTGTATATTTCCTCCCTCGCAGGGTAACAAGAGACAAAGCCACCCAACAGAGGAGTGAGAGCGAGGAGAGGGGGGGGGAGGCAACTAACAGGGGTGTGAGTGGGTGGAGGGGGGGGCGGGGTTACCAAACAGAGACGCGTGAGTGAGGGAGAACTCCCTCATGAGTCAAGATGTCGTAAACTGATGCTGTGAAAACACACTACACTACGTAGCTAGCTTGCTCTTGCCACCTCCAAGATCACAAGAGGCTGCATGCTGAAACTACCGTAATTATCTTACACACGCTTTTATTTAATCTGGTTCCCATATGTCGATGGGACCGAATTTATCTTTTTACATATTCTCCGACCGAATCCTCAAGCCTCTGACTCTTCTATTTACATCCTAGTTTGTAAGATCCGTGTAGGTCCAACCTAAAGAAAACGATTGTCTATATATTATGGTTCAATTTCGACTATACACAGGTTTCTGAAATTATTTGACACCCCCTCCCACAAGAATCTTGGAATTTAGAGTGAAGGTTGGTCTAATAATTGTATTTTAGTATTGAGGCACGGCTGACAAACCGTGCCTGCCTTCCACATTAGGCCTGCAGTAGCGAGTGCCTCAGGTCCAAACAGTGTCCCGAAACAGTGATCGAAAGCATTATCCTAGCAACCGACCTGAAACAAAATTAAGCCTTGCCATGGGAACATTGCGTAAACAAAATCTGGGACACCTGGAGAAAGTATGCTGGCAAGCAGACCTGTAATAGCACTTCACAATTTTACAAGTCTTCTTTGGGCTCCTAATCGTTTTTATTAACATTTAGATACATCTGCATACGTCAGTTGCTTAATTTAGAACCTGTACTTGAGGTCGATCTCGAACCCATTGTTGATGTGACGACCTATATTGAATTATGTAACTAGCTCATCAAGATTGTAACTTGCTTAGCTAAATGAATTGTGGGGTTCAGTCCCTGAGCCCATTATGTGCCTCTGTAACCCTTTCCACTACCGCCCACAAGACGGGTATGGGGTGCATAATAAATGAACTAAACTGCATACGTGTACCAACAGTTGTACGGTTCTAAATTAATAAGAACCAAGTAGAATTAAATTCTACAAGTCATAAGCTACTGCTTTATTAAATGTAGTTACTGTAATTATTACGCTTGAGAACACACATATACATCTGTACTCAACCCGAGGAGTTGCATATTACGCAAGGGTAATGACTCGTGGTTGTCCTTTGTCCTGAGGACAAACTAATTTGCATTCCGTATCTGAACCAGAGCCCCCAAGGTGATATCCCACACTGTGTTATGAAAGATTCATCAACATTATATATTCCAGTCAAAATGTGCTTATCAGCCTAACCAAATTAAAAAGTCTTCATATAGGTCATTTACAATTGTCAGACCAAGGATTAAATTGACGTCACGTCCTGGTTGACGGCTCGTCAATAAAATCATATTTGTCGAAACAATCTTTTAAAAACCTCTATAAAACGACTGGTCGTTTTCATGTGACGTTTATGACAGCCTCGAGATCGCTTGCCATATAATTAGGCTATAACAAGCCTCCCTCAACCCCTAGCAACTCTTATTCCTAGTATAACTCCTAGTATATTATAACTAACTCCCCTAGTATCTCTTATTTGAGTTCTCTCTTGAATATTGCAGTTCTCTTAAAAAGTCAGAATCCAAGAACCTTTATTATAAAAAAATTATAATACATTTATACCAAATAATTATAAAAAAAACATCGGTTAGATCATGCTTTTGTATTTTGGCAAATTGCCAAACCAATTAAATATTCTGTTGCAGTCTAACGTAGCCTAGCCGTCACGAGTTCAAATTTCATTGATGCGGCAGTTAATTGAATTCTATTTTTAAACCAGTTCCTCGAGTTTAAACAGCACTTGAAAATATAAATTAAGACAAGTGACCCAGACGCGACTTTGGAGGATAAATGGGATTTGAACTGTGAATGCTGGGCCACAAACCAATGGCACACAATCACAGGCACAGTCTCTGGAGGAAAGCCTGCAAAAACAACCTCACGTCGCTGAAAGAAATTAAGTGTTAGGAGAGACATGATCACTATATACAAGATTCTCCGGAATTGATAAGGAGTAGAAAGACTTAACACTGGTGGTACCCGTAGAATGGGACACAGGTGGAAACTGAATACCCAGATGAGCCATAGAGACATTAGAAAGAACTCTTTAGTGTTAGTAGCAAATGGAATAGATTAGGTAGTGATGTGGTGGAAGCCGATTCCATGCAGTTTCAAATGTAGATATGAAACAGCTCAATAGCCTAAAGAATCGGTATACCGGTTGAGTGTCTACTGGGGGTTGAGTCACCCCCATTCAGCACCGCTCCTGTGTCAGGTAAGTCCACCACGGGCTCACCATAGCCCGTGCTACTTGGAACTTGTTCCGAGTAGCTGAATCTATAACAACAACGGTTGCGTGATGGCCGAGCGTCAGGACCAAAGAGCCAAAGCTCATCCCCCTCAAGCACAACTAGACAAGTACAGTACATGCACGTACGTAGACACGCTGGTAGAGACTGAATAAGGTGGCGTGAGAGCTCAAGATGTTCCAGGTCTTAACAGAGCAAGAAGTTGCTCAAGTAAGAGCAAGGTGTGTGTGTGTGGGGGGGGGGGGGGGTTAACCAGGCACACCCAATGGATGAATTTGTGATTACCAGTGGTGAGGCTGGTCCAGATGAAATCTCACTACAGGTACCGAAAAAGAGGGAGCAAAAGCACTATGCTTGCCAGTCTCCATGGTGTATAATAGGTAGCTGGTAGTAGAACTACCAAGAAGTTGGAAGGCAGATTTAGTGCCAGTGTGCAAGGGATACAGTAGGTACAGAACTATAGACCAGTATCTATCTCGCATACAATGTAAGGAAAAAATAGAGCATTAGGAGTTCGCAACAAGGATCGTCCCAGAATTGTGGGGGGATGAAGAGACTGAAGGAATTAACCTGACGACCCTAAAACAAGAGGAGGGGGAGACATGATAGACGTCAATTCCCCTTGAATATTTTATACAAGGTGGAAAATGAAATGGAAGCTTGCGACACGTCTGAGTCAGTTGTTAGAACAAATGCAGAAGGGCCGTGATGAGGATTCGAACCTGCGTCCGGGAGCATCCCAGACACTGCCTTAATCGACTGAGCTACGACAGTCGAAATCTAAGTTCTACTGAACTAACTGGATCCTGCAGCCTCTCCGAGAGACAAACCAGGGTTTTACACAACTCCCCCATGCACTCGAGCTATGTCAATAGGCCGTTCGCCCTTACTTCATTACACAATCACACTAACGTGATGCATCAAATGTTAGAACGTTTTCCTATTAGTGCAAAAATGGAATGAACTAAAGCGCAGGTTGTAGAAAAACTCCATGTTAACAATACTGTAGATATGATATTGAAATGTATTGGCGTATGCCATTACATTCACAAATCTGAATTAGTTATGATTTAGGACCTTGTATACTACTATGACCAGCTGTGGAATATGCAGCGCCAGGATCGAGTACCTGGCATATGTAACACGAAACTAAGCTGAACCACACGAACCACAGACCAGAGATTTTTTTGATTAGTCAAGAAACGGGATGTGCCAAGAAACGTCTTTCAAAGGTCGAGTTAACAACCCAATAGGCTCGGGGAACCTGTATACCAGTTAATTAAAATTTGAGAGCGGGAACATGGCGGTGAAGCTGGACTCACCGCTGGACTCGCCCAAACGATTAAGTCTAGTACGTGCGTGCGTGCGTGTACACACACATTGGGGTCGTGTTCATTCTGCAGACACTGTTCACCTTTGGTCGTACTCCCCCCCCCCCCAACCCCACACACACTAGGCCCATTACCAACCTTACTGCGCATGTCAACGAAGTTCAGAAAGAGCCCAGGAGCTGGAGCTCAGCTACCAGAGTAAGAATACATACATGCTTATTCATACGCCTATGTGAGTACAAACATGTCACATCTCTCTTTCAGATTGTAGACGAACATATGGAATTGAGCACCAAATGAGCCGTAGATACCCCCCCCCTCCCCCCATCCCTTGTCAGATGACAAAGTGCAATAATTAGTGTAAGCAAACACCCCAACTAGCTTCAAATGTATAGATATGACAGCCTAACTAGACACGTAAATTGACTAGCCAGGGGTTAAGAAACACTGATTTGTGTATTAGTGACACTAGGAACTTAACTTAAGATTACTTAAGAGCCCTCAACTGTTTACAGTCTTTATATATTTACTGACAACGAACACTGGCTGCCTAAAATTAATTTTTATAAACCGTTGCCTATTCTTTGTAAGTACAACAAGGCTAGTACAATTAGGCGAGTACATATAGACAATACCGTGCTGTATATATACTTTCGTCTTGACAAAATTAAGACTTACCAAATGTTATTAAATAAGGCTTCCAAGGAGATGTTAAGAGATCAAAACTGCTGTGTCGTCGATAATTTTCTAAGTTAGATGGTTAAGTTACTGCTTATATAATGTGCACTCCCCTAGCTCAGCCAGCCCGGGGCAGAGGTGTTGCCTATCTTAAAATGATTTTAGACTTTTACCAAGCCTTATAGTACACCAATCCATAGTTTATTTTGTCAGTGGTGTAATTCCACTTTAGACAAACCTATACATATAAAACCTAAAAAAAGAACAAAGCAGGAAACTTTAATATATATTTCGACATTTAATTGTTACTGGGAGGAGGAGGAGGAGCGAGCTTGGGGCTCCACTTACCTAGGGAGCGTTGGACGCTGGTGAGAGGTGCGGGGCTGGTGTCTGTTGGGGCGCTTCTCCTCTCCGTCTGTGGGCTGTGACAAAGCCGGGCGGCCTCCTCTTCACCTCCTGCTAGAGAACAACTGGGAAAACGACCATATTGTTCAGAAACCGATAAATGAATAGTGCCAGTCTGGGAAAGCTATGACCCTCCAGGATTCTTTAGTTGATGGTGTGTAGGCTTGACTGGTGGTGGGTGCGGCGCTTGATACAACGACCAAGGGAATCACACCACTCAATATGTCCCACTAGAGTGTCTTAACAAAACTCTCACTTGATCTAAATACACATAGTCTGTCTGGCGACGAGCGACGGTTGCTTCCTCTACGCCTGACACACGTGGAGCGACTGGCTAGGCGAGCCGCTGGCAGTGGATAGCGGCTGGCTTGGGAGTTGGCTGGTCGGCTGGCTGGGTGGCTGGCGAGGCTCAGCGACCACTGGCTGCCGGTAGCGGAGCTCTAAACACGTTGCAGCAATTAGTAGTCTACAGGTACACCACTTGGAGGTCCTCAGAGGGCTTGCATGTGGCCTTAGCAGAAGGTAGTGACGTACTAGCGTGGCGGCAAGGGTAGTAATGCGTCAGGCCAGAGGAACTGGACCATTCTGGTAAGGGTGGCGTGGATCAATACCACTGAGTGTACCACGCATGGCCGCCCAGCAGGGCGCCATGCTGCCGGAGGTACACAAATCAAATCAAATCAAATGTTTATTCAGGTAAAGATACATACATAGAAGATGAATTACAAACATAATGTTGGATTTATAGATATAGTTAGTACATACAATGCCTAAAGCCACTAATAAGCACAGCGTTTCGGGCACAGTATAGCTCCAGGTGTCTCACATCCACCTCCACTTTCAACTCACTCTACCTTCTACATCCAGCCAACAATATGAACAAAAAATACACACGTTATTTAACACTTTCGCGCTTTCGAGTAGAGATAACTCGTCACTGGTTTTTCTTACGATTCCGCATAACTGCCTACTTTTCTCGTCAATCGAAAAAATATTTCTATAAATTCCATTTTTTAACCGAAATTGATGGGGATACTCTCAGATTGTTCTCCATGAAATTCCCGTTCTCCCTCACCGAACACATGGCATCTCGGCCTACCCGGTCACGTGGTCGGCCCATTGTTTTGTTGACACTCCAAGTGCCCACACTGTGCTCCCCTCTCGCGGCAAACGTGACCCGTTTTACGCATTTATTTCCGTTCCGTTTCCGTTCTCGTGTACCTAAAACCCATTCAATACCTTCACTTTCTATTTTTCTGCAAATGGCAATGCACAATGCATACGCATTGTATAACCACTACTCAACAGATACAAAAAAACTAACACTATTAGAGTTTCACGCAGTAGGAATAAAAGCCTTATTGGCGTGGAACAGCGAGGAATGGCCAACAACAACAAGTATACCACATGTTCCCGACATAGATGCCAGCGCAGCTCCTCCTGCTGACGCGGCAGTTTCAACACCCGGGCCATCTGGTGCTAGGCGTCCTCTGTTCACCTCAACACCTAAAGCCCACTCATCAACCACAAATTCTGAAATGGACATTGAGGACATAGAACCACTTGATGTTTCTGATTTCATAGAAGATTCTACTACAAGTTTGGTGGTTCCTGTAGAAGACAATATTCTTCCAGTGAATCCAAAAAATACAAGAATTATAGATTCAGAACAACGTCTCAACTACAAGTTGACGCATGAACTCGTGCACTTGGCTAAAAAAAAAAGATGCCGTGTTTGTTACAAGTCTGGCAAAAGGAGGGACGTGATATATGGATGTAAAACTTGTGATGTGGCACTGTGCGCTGCGCCTTGCTACACAAGGTACCACCGAAGAAAGATATTTTGGGTGGAGAAAAAATAACCACCGGCAACAGCTTCACTCCACCTAAGAAACATCAGATGAGCAACTTCAGGATCAGAAGCCTGAAGATGGTGGAGTGAAGAAAAAATGCTCAACTGTTGATCTTCAATCAACATAGACAGGGTAAGTACACCTATTTGGAATTTTTTATCATCTATAAGAAGTTGTATTATATACGTTTTGTAGAGAATTTATTTGCGAATTTTTTGGTACCAGAATGAATATTATATCACATAAACTTCTATGAGTAAAAAAAAAACACAAAGTATGTTTGGGGGTGTGGAGGGTGTGGCTCTGGGTGTGGCGGTCGTGTGGCAGTGGGTTCCCTTTAGCCGTTGATATATCCAACACGTGGGAAATATTTGTATGTGTTATGTATATGTCTGTGTAGGGAATTTTACTGCGATCACTGTCATACAAATTATAAAATGTTTCAACAAGTATAAACATGAGAAACATCAAACGAACGAAAACAATGCGTTCCTTTCTGCCGTGAACGCATACTGAGCGACGTGGTTCTATATTTGGCGCTTCTCTTAAACATGCTTTGTACAAATGTTATACATTTCATCTTATAGAAAATTTTATTGCGAACACATTGGTATAAAAAAGAAATACGTCCATAGAAAAGTAGGGTCAGGAAACGTATAAATGTATAAACTTTCCAAGCATGATTTCCCCCCTGTGTTTTCGCCAGTGCGCTCGCGGCTAACTAACTCTCCACTTCCCACACTCTTGCGGGTGGGCAATTACCTATATTAAACATTCATATGCATATGTCCGTGTAGAGAATTTTATTGCGATTCCAATGATACCAAAATTAGCGATGTAGGACAACTGTAGGCTACGCAACCATTAAGAGAGTGGAAACATTTTGTTTCTGTTTGGCGCTCTCGGCGAGTGATCTGCATAGTTTTTTATTTGGTGTTGATACTCCTTATGCTTGGGCGGCATTTTATAGGTATGCTCTTATAGACAATTTCATTGCGAACACAGTGATACCAAATTTAAATACGTGCGCCTTCAATTATTGTCAGGACAGTCAAAAGAGTGTACACTTTTTTGGTCTTACGCGTAGGGGCGCGAAGTGCCGAAAGCATCTAGGGTATTGATTTTTTTTGAGCGCCGAGAGCGCGAAAGTGTTAACCTGTATTTATTAAACAATACTGAGGTTACACCCTTTTAGTACATACAATTTTAACAGAACATCAGATCGAATATCGGTTCGTTAGGAGGTTTACGTCCATTATGCTCAAGAGAAGAAATTAAATTACTCCTCGCAAACTCACAACATTTTTGTTCTTGATTGATATATAAAAATATGACAATCTGCTTTAACTTCACCAACGAATATGTTGTATATTAAGTTTCGTGGTAGCTAAGAAACATTTAGTGAAGAAGTATAAGAGTTGAGCATAAAGTGGAGTTGTTGTTGTTAAAGATTTAGCTACTCAGGACGAAGTGTCCATGTAGCACGGGTTATGGTGAGCCCATAAATAAAGTGGAGGCTGGGTACAGTTGATCTATTGCTCTCCGGCAAGAAGGGCGTGTGTGTATAGGCAGCAGTAAGGCCTACCGTGGAGGTGTGTGGGGCAGTGTGACTATGGAAAAAAAATTAAGTGACAGGTAGACTGATATGAGACATGTGACATGGAAAGGGTTGGGGAGAGAAGTACCAAGGTACTGTACATACCTTACTTAACAGGTAGGCTACTTAACAGGTAGCGTACTTACTTAACAGGTAACTTAAGTGGGGGAAATTGTTTGAATCGTTAATTGCAAAAGCCATTCGTCTTCTGCTTTAAAAACATAGATTAATAAATGATTCACATCATGGTTTTACTAAGGGTCAATAATGTTTAAAAATTTTGCTAATCATTCTATCCCAGCATAGTTGAGGCAGTTGATAATGGTAAGGTTTGTGACGTTGTATATCATAACTTTAGCAAAGCTTTTGATACAGTGCCACACGAATGATTGATTAAAAAGATAGAAACTCACGGTATTGGGGGTGCTATATTAAGTTGGATTAGGGCATGGCTATACTAAAGGAAACAAAGAGTTAGTATAAATGGAGTCAAATCAGAGTGGGAAAATGTAAGTGGAGTGCCTCAAGGCTCTGTCCTGGGGCCTCTGTTATTTATAATCTATATAAATGATTTAGATTCAGGTTTGAGCAGCAATATTTGCAAATTTGATGACGATACGAAAATCGGGAGGGAAATAAACACTAAAGAAGACTCACAATCACTTCAAGACGATCTAAATAGGGTTTTGAAATAGTCAAAAGATTGGCAGATGCAGTTTAATGCTGACAAATGTAAGGTTTTGAGGCTAGGTAATGATGATAAGAGTTACAGGATATGAGCTGGAGGGAGTTAAGACCGCGAAATCCGACCGCCAAAGTCTGATTTCGCAATAAAATACGAAATGTTCGATAAATGTTGGAATTGCTCGTATAAATCATTGCTCTTCTGGCTGGTAGAGGATTTGCATTTGTACAGGTTCAAAAGTTTTCAGCTATAGAAAAAGACTTGACTAATCTGGCTAGAGTAGAGGTCACAGTGGAGATTGTATTTGAGCTATCAACTAACTCCACGTGTTTCCTCAAGTTGTGTGAAGGCAGGTATTGTCTCCACTACACAGAGGCGGGACCAAAGAGCCAAAGCTCAACCCTCCGCAAGCACAACTAGGGGAGTACAGGTGTCTGGTGGTCCTGCAGAAGAATTTCCAGTGTTGGAGTTGTGGGTCTGTTGTAGAGAAGACAGATGGTCAGGTTCATAACAATCTTTTCCTGCTGAGTTGATTGTAATCTTAGAATTCGAGTTCCCGTCCAACTCCTCATCACTAATACCAGCAAAAAGGTGTTTGGGTACAGTGAAGATGGTGAACGATTTAGGAACAGAGAATCGAAACTTACTCGATACCTCAATTTAAAAAAAAAAAAGCCTAATGCGCATGTCAACAAAATTCAGAAAAAGAGCCCAGAAAATGGAATAGAAAGAGAGCAAGTATTCTCTCTCTCTCTCTCTCTCTCTCTCTCTCTCTCTCTCTCTCTCTCTCTCTCTCTCTCTCTCTCTCTCTCTCTCTCTCTCTCTCTCTCTCTCTCTCTCTCTCTCTCTCTCTCTCTCTCTCTCTCTCTCACTCTCATTGTGGGGTGAAACAAATGCAGCGCGTCACGTCAAGATGTTCTAGGTGACGCCCATTCGCATGTCGGCAGTGATAACCAATATAATTTATACCTGACACGTGTCGAACCAGGCACGAGGGATTACTATGTCCCTGAGGTAGTCAAGGTCCGGTCCTACCTGGCCTGATCACGTGGTCCCACCAGACCTGGTCACGTGGTCCTACCTGACCTGGTCACGTGGTCCTACCTGACCTGGTCACGTGGTCCCACCAGACCTGGTCACGTGGTCCCACCAGACCTGGTCACGTGGTTCTACCTGGCCTGGTCACGTGGTCCCACCTGACGTGGTCCCACCAGACCTGGTCACGTGGTTCTACCTGGCCTGGTCACGTGGTCCCACCAGACCTGGTCACGTGGTCCCACCAGGCTTTTGATACAAATTATTTGACATATCATCGACAAGAGTCATTCCATGATCCTCGCTATTTCACCAACTGTCTTACATAACATTCCCACACTCTTGGGGGGCAAATCCGTTAACGCCTCCAAGAGTTCTGAGAGTTTTAAGTCGCTCTTTGCAAAGGTTG